TCTCCCACATTCATGGACTGGAAGAATTAATATTGTCGAAATATCCACCCTACTCAAGGTGATCTCCATCAAAATTCCAATACTATTTTTCACAGAAAAAGATCCTAAAGTTCATATGGTTCCATAACAGATTCCAAATAGCCATGTTGAGCAAGAAGCCCAAAGTTAAAGGCATCATACTTCTTGATTTCAAATTATATCAGAAGCTATAGCAATCGAGGCAGTATGATACTGACACGAAAATGTCTGAGACTCATGGGTCAAAACCGAGAGACTCAGGCAGAACCAAAATCGGCACACACCCCGTCAACTACCCTTCAGTGAGTGGCCAAGAACACACAACAGGAAAAGACAGCTTCTCCCTAAAGGACGTCCATGTGCACAGGAAAGAAACCACCCCCACGCCACTCACAGGGGGCAAGGTGGACCCAGACTTTACTCAAGGAAGATGGGGAGGGGATGGGAGCTGGACAGGACGTGGACGGGGAGAGCCTCCCAGAGCAGGCGCCGAAGCTCGCCTGCAGCACCCACGGCGTGTGGGGACCACGCTGACACAGCAGCGGAGCCCAGACTGTGCTCCGTGCCGCAGGTCCCATGTAAAAGCAAAGGTGACAGCAGAGGCGACCCTGGGGGCGGCGGGTGCGTGTGTGGCAGGGAGGACTCACCTCCACACTCACTGAGTCCCGCTGTGGAACCTGCGCAGCTTCTCGCGTCAACCACATCTCAAAGTGATGCTTTACACGGGTCCATAACGTTTCTTGGTACACGTTGCTGTATGTTATGATAGCATGCATCGCGGGGGTAGGCACACGCACGTAACACTCCTCAATTCCTTTTTTACCCCCTCCCTCCTCAAAGCGATTTCTTGAAATTAAGACATTATTGCTGGGTGTGGCACTGCACATCTGTAATCCCAGCTACTCAGGAGGCTGAGCCATGAGGATCACAAGTGCAAGGCCAGCTTGGGCAGCTTAGGGAGTCCTTGGCTCAAAGAAATTTAAAAAGAGATGTTAAGTGGGAACATGGAAGGAGAGAGGAAGAGGAGGGAAGAAGAGGGAGAGGGAGGAAGGAAGGGAGAAGGCAGAATCCACGCCGACCTCGTGCCTGCCAGCGCCGGCTGGCCGGGCCCAGGACGCGCAGGAGGAGGTCGGAAAGGAGTGAAGCGATCTTGTCTCCAAACCTCCCTGCAGGAAGTGAGGCTTGGGTGTCACCAGACCCCAGTGACACAGCACAGGCCGGTGCCCTCCTGCATGCTGCTGGCAGACTGCGCCCCGCACCCACGCCCCTCACCTGCAGACGAGAAGTCGGCCCAGACCTCCGTCCCCAGGCCAGCCCGGAGCGCACGTAGGCAGAGCCAGCTGAGGAAGCGAGGCCGCACTCCACTTCCTGCCGGGGCGGCGCAGACACGGGCACAGGGGCGGCGGCACAGGGACAGCAGAGGAAGCGGTGCAGTAGGAACGCCCCGGCTCCCCCGCCTCAACCTGCCCCGAGCTGTGTGGTGCCTCAGCGCAGCCTGTGTGTGGACCCCGCTCCCCAGAGACAGGCAGGGCCAGGGCAGCACAGAGGCACACGGCCCAGCGCTGCTGAGCACCCTCCCTGCCGACCAGCACCGCCCCAGCGAGACCCTCGCAGCCGCCGAGGCGGGAAGCCCTTGCTGAAGCCGCATGCGTCCGTTCGCCGCGAGTCGGGCAACAGTGTCCTGAACACTGCGTTTTCGTCTGAGACATCTCGTTCAATAAGACTCAAAAACCAGCTGAAGTTTGTTCTGCTTCTGGGCTGTTGCAAGCTAGACACAGCGAGCAGGCAGCGTACACAGAAAAGGTTGCGGTATCGCATGGTTACCTAATTAAACGCCGAGCTGGCACTTCGGTTAGAAGCCGCAGAAAGATGAACGCCTGATAGCGCAAATATTTAGCAAGAAGCTAATTCCAGCGGGCGCAATACCCGTCCTCCGGGAGGCGGGGGCAGAGCAGCAAGTGTAAGCCCAGCCTGGCAACTTAGCAAGACCCTGTCTCAACATTTTAGAAAATAATAATAAAGAGATGAAGGCTAGAGACATAGCTCCATGCAAAGGCTCTAAACTCAATCGCAGTACTGCAAAAAAAATTTTTTTAATTCCATTTTCTCAAATTTCCAAACCACTTCATTCTCTCCCAAGACCAGCACAAGGGGCCAAAACACAAAGTGCTTGCACCCTGCCGGCCTTCCCAGCTGCGTCTTGGGAGAGACGGAAGCCCCATCCCTCTACTGGCTTGACCTCTCTTTCCGAAGAGGGCAAAGCTGTGATGGGGGGAACAGGAAGATGCGGGTCACCTCTGACAGGCTGTGTCTCCTCCGGGAGAGCAGGAAGGTACAGCAGGCTGAGCTCTGCGTCCACTGTGCGTGAGTGCGGGCTTCTCCCGTGTCAGAGGCGCACCAGAGCTGGGGGCACCTCAGGAGCAAGACAGGGCCCAGGCCCAGGAAGCCTGCACAGCCCAGGGAGACAGGGTCCTGCCTGCTGTGAGCTCCAGGGCAAGCGAGCGGGGAGGAGACTCAGGAAGGGGCGAGGGCACTGCCTGAGCTGCTGGTCAGAGAGGCCTGGAAACCCACTGAGGAGCAGAGGGAAAGATGATCCCTGCACCCCAGGAAAGGCCTACCTGGCGGGGACAGTGAACTTGGCCGGAGCACGGCCAGCATGGCGACCAAGGGTTCCTGGAGGCAAAGCCACACCTGCGGAGGGTGCAGGCACCTGGCTGCGCCAAGGATGGGCCAGCGAGGGCCTGGAGCCCGGAGAAGGTGGAGAAGCTTAGGTTACGCCCAAGGCGGGGCCGAGATGCTGGCTGCAGGCGGTGACAGGTGTGAGAGAAAGAGGGGAGGGCAGGTGGCTCTGGGCTGATGATGGCAAGGGGAGGACAGGCTTCAGGAAGAAAACCCAGCATTCTGGTTCCCAGAGACCCCGACATCGCTTCTAAAACCAAGGCAACTGCAATGGAGGCACTGACCTTAAAGCTGACGTGGAAACTCGGGACCCAGAACTGCCAAAGGCAGCTTCGAGAAAGCACGAGGCTGGGGACACACACCCTGACTTCAAAACTCAGCACACGGCTACGGCAGTCAGCAAAGTGAGACCAGTTGCAAGGTGGACAGAGGCCCCAGGGAGGGCAGGGTCCAGAGCGAGGCCCAGGTTACGGTCCGTGGTTCTCAGCACCAGGCCAAGACCCTTCCCGGGAGTACAGGGAACACCTGGTGTCCAGGTGCAGAGGGATGCAGCCCCCACGGACACCACTGAAATGGGCCAAAGGATGGCATGGAGCTGAGACCTGAAGACCCTCGGGTGCTGGAGGAGGAGTTGATCTCCGGGACCTCGGATTTGACAAGTGGCTTCTTAGGTTTGACCTCGAGCAGAAGCAACAAAATAAATCAATCAATTCTATTTTATCAAAACTAAAACTTAAGGCAGACCATGGAGGGAAGGAAGGGAGGGAGTGAGGGAAAGAGGGAGGAAGGGGAATTGAAACAAAGGTAGACACAAGCTGGCGTCTCATGCCCAGCCCACTCACTGCCTTGATCTCTCACTGCCCGCTGCCCAGGCTGATTCCAAAAGCAAGTTTGTAAGAAGTCGGTACAAAAGTTCCTAGGGACAACTAGGCTTGCAGTGACCCACACCTGACCCGTCAGCTTGGGCGTGAGGACCACCAAGGTAGGGACTGGGCCGTGGCCTGGGTCCAGAGGTGGGGCACCATGACTCAGGGTTCACAGGTGAGGACACTGTGACACAGGGCCCAGAGCCACAGGGCCACACAGAGCGGCTGAGCCCAGGCCTCCACCCTCACCCACCTCGGACCACCGTTGCAGCTTAGCCCCCGCGGCAGAGCCGAGGCCCCGGCCAGGGAAGGGACCTGTCACTGTCCAGCCCACTCGGGAAGGGAGTCTGCAGGGAGGCCCCCATAGGGCAGGAAGCAGGCACCAATCACAGAGCCCGCCGGGAGGCCCAGGCCCCTCCCACAGGGTGCAGGATGCCCCCCCCCGCGGACTGCTCCCCATCATGATCACAGGGGCTCCTCTCACCTGATCCTGTGTCCCTGCTGGGCCTTGGGTCCCCCAGCGCCGCCTCAGCACTTCCCGTCCCCAAGAGGGCAGGCGGGACCTCTGTGTCACCTCGTCACCCGGCCCCGCCCCATGGAGGGGGTGGAGGGACCCTGGGCTGTCGCCTGGGCGCCAGCCCGCATCTGCAGCCCCTTCCGGACCCGTGACCGGGGTAGCGGCGACTGCAGGCGTCACTGCAGCTGCTTGGTAAAGCAGAGGGGCTGGCGCTGGGGTCCCCTGCTGAGCCAGGGCCAGTCAAGGGCCTTGGCAAGGGACACAAGGGACACACAGGAAAACTGAATGTGGCTCAGAGGGACGGAAGAAATGACGTGGCAGCTGCTCACAGCCCGGAGGGAGGACAGCGCTGGGCTCCCAGGAGAAACGGGGGAGAGGGAGACAGGGCTCAGAGGCGGGCGGAGTGCAGGGCACTGGGCTCTGACAGTGGCCCTGAGCCCCTTGGCCCTGCGCTCCTCCGGGAGCAAGTGCACTGCAGCAGCAGCACCACCACCACCTGCACCTGTCCACCTCCCAATGCCCCGCACGCCACCCTTCCGACACGGGCTACTCCGTGCGCTTCGCGGCTCAGCCGTGTCCGTCTGCAAAGCCACCTGCGATGGCCCACAGGAAGTCACCAGCTGGGTCTGAAGGGGCTGCCTGCGATGCGGGCCTGTGTTGAGCACAAGCATTGCAGGAGCCACCCTGAACCTGCAGGCAGCGGCGCCAGGCCTCACGCCGCCTGTGCCATCTGCACAGCGCTGCCCCGGGGAGCAGCGAGCTGGGAAGGGGGGCGAGGGGAACGCTGTGGGCCTGCCGAGCGGGGGCGCCGCAGTCTGGCTCTGTGCTGCTGCAGTGAGATGCCACAGGAGCTCGTCAGGAGTTCGTCAGAAAAGGAGGCTTGTTGGGCTCCTGACCTTACAAACGGCCCACGCGGTGTCTGATGGGAGCAGGAAAGGAAAAGGCCCCAGGGAGGGTGGTGCGTCCACAGGAGGGAGGGAGCCTGCAGGGCCAGGCCAGGCTCACACTTTCTTTGTGTTCTGGTTTGTCCCAGGCATTGGACAGTCTTCACACTGAGGTGCAGCCCCGGACCTTTCTAAATTTTTTATTTTAAAACAGAGTCTTAACTGCCCAGGTTGGACGTGAACTTGTAATTCACAGAGGGAGGCTTCGGGGAGGAGCAGAGCCAGCAACCAGTGCTTCAGCCTCCCAGAATAGTGGAATTACAGGTGTATGCTACCACGCCAGGCTCAGGCTCCCTCTTCTACGTGAGGACAAAGATGAAAGCACAGGAACTCACCAAGCCATGTAGGGACAGCTACACGGTGACAGCCACACGGTGACTGCTGAGGCTGGTGCCATACCTGGCAGGCCTGGCCAGGAGCTCGCTGGGCAGGACAGGGACGGACTCCAGTGCCCTGGCCGCTCATCGCCACCCATCCTCGCCCGCTCCCCCGTGCCATGAGCCGGGCACAGGGCTGGGCGCACAGTGTGCAAGGGAAGCAGGAAAACTGATTTCTCCCTCAGGACCTCCTCGACAGACCAAATAGTAAGTAGGCAAGAGATGAGATCCTTCATGGGGAAGATAAGAGTGCAGCTGGGAGCCCAGTGTGGGGCATGTGCCCCAGTCTTAGTTACTTGGAAGGCTGAGGCAGGAGGATTGCTTGAGCCCAGGAGTGTGAGACCAGCCTGAGCAGCACAGCAAGCCCTCGTCTCAAAAACACAAGGAACAAGACAAGTGAGTGTGCCAGAAGACAGAAGAGGACGCCAGATCTAGGATTCTGAGGACAAGCTCTGTGTGTGTTAGGGCGCATGGTGGTGCAGGCACAGGTGCGGCCCGGAGGCAGAGGGAGGCTTCGGGGAGGAGCGGAGCCGGCACCCAGTGCGTCGGTCGCTTCCTGCAGTCCCCAGTGTGCACCTCAGAGCCGCCCTCACCCGGGTGCGTGTCTCTGGCCCCACATCACAGATGAGGAGCTGAGCCAGGCCATGTGACTCTGATTGGACTGCCAGTGCGTGGCACAGGCGGGACAAAACCCGGAGCTTGGCATCCAGCAGATCTAAGCCTAGAGACCTGAGAGGCCACCAGCATCGGGGTCCAGCGAGGGGCAAGCGGGGTGCGCTGATGCAGTGGCCACAAGGAAGAGGGTGTGGGCAAACCCAAGGTGTTTAGGAGGCTGAATCAGGAAGATGCGCCTCTAGGGTGGGAAAGCACAGAGCCAGGAGAGAGTGACCGGGCCAGGGCTGAGTGAGCACAGGGTTTCCATGAGCGCCCAGGTGGGCAGCTGGGCCAGCACTGAGGGTGCTGCAGCCCTCACCAAGGTCTGGAGGCTAGGCCTGGAACTGTCTGGGACTCCCCAGCACAGCCAGGGGCTGAAAGGAGCTAGGGCACCCAGCGCCTCCCGGGGACAGGGACCAGGAGGCACCTGGGGAGAGGTCTCCTGAGAGCAAGAGGCAGGAGCCCCACATCTCAGCGCCCCTGTTAAATTTTGAGACAGGGTCTTGCTAAGAATCTAATAATCTATAAATGCTAATAAGTAAAAATACAGGAGAGTATAACATTACACAAAATTAGTTGTCTTCTGCATATTAGCAATGAACAGTGAAAAAGAAAATTAAGAAAACTAGTTCACTTAAAATAGCCACAGAGGCCAGGCAGGTAGTGTACAGCTCTCATCTCAGCACTAGGGAGGCTGAGGCAGGAGGATCACCTGACAGATGACCCACAGGAACTGAAAACCATATTCTCACACTCACAGGAAGCACTCAAAGCATGTTGACAGTAACTGAACAGTGGAGGCCGCAAAGGCCCACTTGTGAGGGAATAGTAACAGAATGCCACAACATCTGTACAATACTAGTCAGTACTAAAACGTGAAGCAGCTGCACATGGTGGCACCTGCCTAGAATCCCAGCACTTGGGAGCCTGAGGCAAGAGAATTTCAAGTAGCATTAACTACAAAGTAAGACCCTGTCACACAGCAAAATAAACAACAAAACCAGAACAGGTAGAGCCATGGAAACTGCCATGGCTGTGTCTAGACATCCCCCAAAGCCTCGAATGGTCACAGGCGGGGCTCTTGGAGGGGGCTGGCTCTCAAGGGTGTGGTGCTGGGGTCAAGAGTGTGTGGTCACTAAATCGGGTCCACCGATTGGGCTGGCATCACTCTAGGCAGATTAAGGGTCCCTCGCCCTGGGTGAGTGACACCGGCCCTAGGGCGGGAAGGCTGGACCCGACACAAGGGACAGACAGAGGGTCACAGGTGTCTTGCTGCTTGCCACTTGCTGTCTTGCCCTCTGCCAGCAAACTATGGACTGAAACCTCTACAAACTGTGAGCTAAATAAGCCTCTCCTCCCTTCACTGGGGGTGCTGGGTATTTTGTCTCAGCAACAAGAGTAACTAAGACCAGGCTCCAGAGGTTTCTGCCAGGAAGCAGGACTGCACTGGCTGTTGGACTCCAGACGATGTGTGTTATGGCTCGGCAGAAAGTTTGTCTGCATTTTGCTCGTGCCCAGAGACTTTGCAGGAGATTGAGATGGGGGGTGGGTGGGGACTAATTAATCTAGCAGAAAAAATTCCAAGGCTGTTGAATGTTGAGGCAGCGGCATGGCTACTGTTGGGGGCTTTCAGCCGGATTTATGTGGAGAATCAAGAGCAAAGGACTCAGCAGGATGACTTAAAACATTTTGAATTTGGCCAGAAAGGAAGCTCTGATAAAGTTGCAGCCTGCAAAGTGGAACAGAGGAGAAGCTGATCACTGAAAAGACCAGCAAGAAAAAGCCTAGTATTTCAGAACAGAACAATGGAAAAGATGGCCTGAGGACATCACAAGAAACAGCAGGACTCCATCCTTCGCAGCCTCGGAGTTTCAAAGGTGAAAGAATTTGCTTTGAGAAGAGAGCCCCAAAGTACCACGTTCTAGAATAGCAGCAGCATAGAGCATTTTTTCCTTGGGATTTAGTTTATAGGTACTCAACCTGTATAGCCGAGAGAGAAGGAAGCCTGGCTACTGCTCCTGCTCGCAGCCCCTTGGCGTCATCCTTGTGGTGCTGGTGTTAAGTGCATGCAGAATGCAGGAGTGGTGGGTCAGGAAGGCTTCCACCCAGATTTCAGAAGGCCTGGGAGCCCAGGCCGTGTGTCCCTGAGAGGTCAGTGTGCGAAGCTGGATGAAGCTGAAGGTGCTGTGGAGACCCCAGAAGGTTGGAGGAGCCAGGAATGTGGATCATTCAAGGAAAGCTGCAAGGAGTGGGCAAAACCAGCAAAAGAGAGAAGCTATGGGAGCTCCAACCACCAGAAGTGCTTTAGGGGTGGAACCACCCAAGCCCTTGGGAATTCCCATCATGCCACAGTTTGCTTCAGAGGCTGCACGGGGAACTACAGAATTTAATGTTTGCCCTGCTGGATTTTGGACTTGCTTTGGTCCCATCCCTTTCTATTTTTCTACCTGTACATTTTGGAATGGAAATGCCTATCTTGTGCCACTGATGTTGGCAGTGTTTAACTTTCTTTTCATTTGTACAGGGACTCCCTGTACAAATGTACTCCCTATACAGCTAAATGTCTTAAACCTCAGAGCAGACTTTGGACTTGGACTTTTCATCAATGCTCGGCAACTCTTAGAGATGGATGGAATGTCTTTTGCATAAGTGGATGTGCATCAGTCTTGGGGGGCCAGGGGCAGAATGTTGTGGCTTGTCTCTAGATGGCCCCCTAAAGCCTCATGCAGTCATAGGTCATTGACTCTTGAGTGTATGACACCGGGATCAAGGGTGTGTGGTACTAAATTAGTCCACTGATTGGTTTGGCATAGCGTGTAGACAATGGGAAGGCCCTCCCTGAACAGAATATAAGGGTCAGAAAGAGGGCTTTGCTGCTTTCTGCCTGCTATGAACCATTTCTCCGCTATGATGCCCCTCTGCCATGTGCCACTCTGCCTTGGAGCCAGCCAACTATGGACTGAAACCTCTACAAACTGTGAGGTGTAGTAAACCTTTCCTCCTTTGAGTCTCAGGTATTTTGTCTCAGCAATGAAGAAACTGACTGATACAAAACCTGTTCAGTCTCCTCAGGAAATCCCAGATTGAGTCCAGCC